GTGTCAGTTTGTGGTGTGCATATTTTTATAGTTTGTTCATGGTAGATTTCCGTAATTATGTTATTATTACTCTATTATTATTGCTATTTTGTTGCATGTTCAGTGATATTACAATCTTACTTAATGTCACAAAACATTTATGGCCTTATTTTTTCTAAAGAAAGAATGAGGATTTTTTTTTCTAAAAAAAAAAACAATGAATGATGGCCTTCCCGTCAAAAAGAGAAAAGAAAAACAAATCCCTTTCATTCTCTACTTTTTTAAATTTCTAAAGTTCTTACCTTTTTCTTTCTTTCTTTAAATACACTTTTCTCCTTTTTGTCGAAATCAGAAATTGAATATCTGAATCACCATATTGTGTGTAACAAGATGAAGAAAACGGTATTTCATCAGAGAGGAAGCTTTGTGTCTTCGGCATTGGCCTGTTTCATTGTTGGATAAGTTTATATTTAATTCCTCGACCGTATTTATATTGTGTTATTTTAAGGCGCGTTTACGTAAGTGGGAGGAAGGAGAGAGTGAGATGGATGAAGAGAGAGAAGGGTGTAAGGTATACATGAAGAAATATAAAGATATAAAGATATATAAGAATATGAAGATATTAAGATATACAAAAATATGAAGATATAAAGATATATAGGAATATATAGATATAAAGATATATAGAAATATAAAGATATATAAAAATATAAAGATATAAAGATATACACAAATATGAAGATATTAAGATATACAAAAATATGAAGATATAAAGATATGTAAAAACATAAAGATATAAAGATATATAAAAATATAAATATATAAAGATATATAAAAGTATGAAGATATTAAAATATATGAAATATGAAAATATAAAGATATATAAAATATAAAGATATAAAGATACATACAAATATAAAGATATAAAGATATAAATAACGTTGGGGGTGAGAGAGAGAGGAAGAGGAGGAGCAGAGATAGATGGAGTTAGCAGCAGATAGATGAATAAATACATAAATACATACATAAATACATACGTAGTAAGGCAGACGGAGAAAGACATTAATAAACAGACAGAGCGCGGTCATCCTTTCATTTCGAATTTTTAATTAGATATATTACCCTGCACCACAAGTTAATTCAAAGGTGAACTTCGGATGTAATCTTGTGATTGAATTTGCCATTTAACTCAACAGTGGTTTGTGAACGATAAGAAGAGAAAAAAGAGAGAAAAAATAATGCTGAAGAAGGGAGAGACAGTAAGAAAGAACAAGCGAAATGAACGATAAGAAAAGAAATAGAAAAGAGAGTGACGAAGAACGGAGAAACAGCAGGAAAACACATGACAAATGAACAAAACAGAGGATAAATGAAGAGAAAAGGGAATGCCGGAGAACGGAGAAAAAAATGGAAAGCAGAGAAAAAAAAAAAAAAAAAAAATCTATTCCACTATGACCATTCAGACGATGCGAGGCGTTTCTGTTGCCTTATTCAAGTAATATCTTCAGCTCCTTCCTCAACTATTTGAATAAGAGTATGTGTCACGATCGCTGAAGTTAAAACGAATTCCAAGATCGTTGTCCGTTTGATAAATGATTTTTTTTACAACTGCGCTTTGATTTGTTTCTCTGACAATTAAACAGTTAAGTCGTGAATATGCTCTTTGCTATTTCGGTTGTTTATCCCTTGTCTTTTCCTTGTTAATTCCTTGTTTATTTTTCATTTTGTTCTTTTTTTTTTTTTTTGTCTTTTTGGTAGTGTATCTTTCTATTTCTTTATCTCTGGTTTTTGTGTGGTAGAGGTTTTGCCATGACGATAAGATTTTTTAAAATGAAATTCAGGTGAATAATTGCTTGAGAGAGAGAGAGAGAGAATAATAATTTAGTTTAATTCCATTTGTTACAATGGGTATTCTTGGTGTGGCATACTGTCTGTTTTATTTTGCTTCTAAATCATCCCCTGTGTGCAAGGAATGGCCGGGGTTACCATCCACTGGTGGAGAGGGATTCGAACTCAGGTCAGCAAGATTGCTAGAGAGAGAGAGAGAGAGAGAGAGAGAGAGAGAGAGAGAGAGAGAGAGAGAGAGAGAGAGAGAGAGAGAGAGAGAGAGAGAGAGAGAACAAAGAGAGAAAGAGCGAGAAATAATCAGACAATGAGTGAGAAAAACTGACACCCAAATATGACAAAGAAACACTCAAGATTCTCCGAGTCACAGCAAAGTACTTTACAAATACCCCCCCTCCCTCCCTCCCGCCTCCACCACACCTTCCTAACAAAAAAAAAAAAATCAAGGTTTTCTATCAAGCCTTTAAATTCCAAATAAAAAAATATATATATTAAAAAATAATAATGATTCGGAAAGCGGAATCATAGAACCGTGACGGATGCATGCAAAGGAGAAGCAGTTGGAAAAAGGACGACTCTGTTATGTTAAAATATAGTGACCCTTTCGACTTCTTCAAACCCGAGGACGAGGAGAGACGGGGTAGGGAAAGGGGGGGGGGTGAAAATCTCATTAATC